ACGAAGAAAATTGATTGATTTGCATCACATTCTAGCCGAATGGGAATCGAATTGAAATTGTGAATTGTTCAGGATCAATTCACGTTTTGTGTTTTGTCTTTTCATTGTCAATGTCCATTTCTGGATACTCAATTTGGGCTGTTATTTCTCGGTTTTGGTTCGAATTTGATGATGCATCTGTTATTGAATTGAATGTTTTTGCTTTGCCATTCATTTTGGCTATTTGGTTTGTCTGTTCATTAGTTTCAATTTGGGCTTCATTTATTTTCCTTTTTTTTTGTCATAGTTTCACTATACACAATGACTGACAATGATGACAAAAGGCGGCGATAGAATGAATGAATGAATGGTGAATGGTGAATGAAATCACATCACATCACATAGGCGAATGTGACGGAATCGTAGAATAATGTTTTGGTCGATAGAAAATGGGTTTGATGATGATGATTATGATGATGATGTTAGTGAAACCGAAAAGTGAATTGAAAGCTCGATCCGAGCTAATTGAATTTGATTCAGTTATTTTATTAGTTTCTGGTTTCTGGTTCTATTCACAGTGATGATGCACATACACACAAATCAAATGACAGCCAGAAACCTAAATAATGGTCCTACGATAATGATATAACCGGTAGCCCATTTTTTTATGTTTGTTTTGTTTTTCTCCATTTCATCATGTTGTTGTGGTCGGTCATTCACATTTTTCTGAATCAAACTAAACTGAATTTAAGTTTTCTTTTCGAAAAGCAAACAGCCGAAAATTGTAACATTATAATGGCCTGATTGAATAATCGAAGGAATTGTGAAAATGGAATATTAGCATTGATGGAATAAATGGATTTAATTTGTCGCAAATGCATAAATTTCCGACATTCATTCCGGTTTGTTATGTTGCTTATTTGCGGATATGATTATGATAATATTGTCAAATCCGTACTATTGAATATCCGGAATACACACTGCACCGACAGACAAACATACAAACATACAAACATGGATACATGGATACATCCTGTGCAAATTGTATGGTGCATCATGATGGTGACCCCAGAACGATAAAAATCTATACGAAAACGATTATATCGAATATGGAATATTATTTAATAATAATCTCAATGATCGTGATGATCCCAACATTTAAAGACCAGAGACCACAGAGAAATAATAACAATAAATCAAACACAATTGATAATATTCGATGCAGACAAATAATAGGGTGTACAAACAAAAACAAAATAATCACAATCAGAAGAAATCAGATCCTGAAAGTAACCAGTGAGCGAAATCATGGGACGAGAAAAAACAATCAACTTGAATGTGAGCAGTTGATCGTGGAACATTCCAAACGAATAATGCAATTTGGTTCCACAGACAACAACAAACAACAACAACAATTATATAATTAGATGATGTTAGCCATGGTGCCCGATCATGATCAATTGGAAAAGAATCCAAAGTTGAAGAAAAACAAATCCATACATTTTCAATCGTATTTGCTGGTGGTGGTGGTGGTGTAACCCTAATTGATGATTGGATTGGATATGTTCGATAAATTACATTATATGGATCAATGAATGAATGAATGTGATATAATAAATAATAAATAACGTTATTTATGGTTGTCGCCGTCATGGTGGTTGCCAAAAAAAAAAAAAAAAAACCACAGAAGCAGTCTATAATAATCATGTAGTGAGTGAAATATCCCTGTGTGAAAAGAAGAATGAATGATTCCTAATGGATGTTGGGCAGAAGGAAATAGTTTTCGTAGATGGATCGGAATTGATTGAATTCGCTTATTGATATAGAACTCAACTTTTAGTTTATCGTCATCAAGTTGATACATGGACATTTGGTTGTCGGCCAAAGATTACCGTATCATACAAGTCGATTAATCGCCCAACTGCCAATGCAGGCGTCACATGCATTGATTCATTGGATCATTAATCGAATGAATGCACGCAAACCATGTTTGAATCCGTGTTTAGCTGTTAAAGCTCTTTTTCATTATTAAAATTAGCTTTCTACACACTGCCAATTGTGAATTGTAAATTTAAATTTTTCCCCATCTCCATACAGACATCAGACATTCGACACACCCAGCGTTTGACTCTATGCCCATAGGTCAATGTCGATAGTTAAACTTGTAGCAAGGAATCTTGAAAACAGTGTGTGTGTGTATAGTGTATGTATAGTGTATGGAAAACATAATTTGAATGATTGATGATCGATATGGTTGTTATTATAAATTGGAAATGTTTGCCACTATATTCGGAATCGATGACAATGTTGTTTGTTTATTTTTAAGTTTTCGTTATCTGGTTTAAAATACACATCGATACACACACACATACTACACTTGGCCAAATTATAATGTCGATGATGATGATGAAAATAATAAAAATAAATGGATAAATGAATGAATGGATTCAAGTGCATGTTCAAGAGAACAAAAGTGTTCGGAAACATTGAATTCTCATTTTCAAATTCATACCAACATGCTATCCAAGTTGAAAAAAGGAAAATTTCTTTTACCCAATCCATGATTCGGCTCATCACTATGTGGGATGCTCAATACATGCAGATTGAAGAGTATCCTCTTTTTCTCTTCATACATTTCACTCATTGCTGCCTTTCATCTAATGTGCTACTACTATTCTCATCATTCGAATGATACTTTCATTTGGATAGTGTTGTATTCTACTTTGTGAATTTCGTCTGGAATGGAATGTCGTTTTTTTCCAAGTTTTCACGTTGAATCCTAGACCACTATCCAAATTGAAGATTCATCAAGTACTAGCAACGTAGCAGATGTATGGATGAATGTTGTGAAACACAATGGAATGTATCTAATGGCAAGACCACTTCCATTTGGACGATACAAGGCTGACTATTGAGTACGAGAACAAAACTAGCCATTCGAATGTGTGAACGTATCAAAAACTTTTCACCGTCCATCGGTGATGGTCTGTAAAGATATTGCCGCGAATTTTCTTTTTGAAATGTTACAAATGAAAAAAGTTATCACTGATACATTTGTTTCAATCTTGTGAATAAATCCTATGTCAATCATCAAATGCAAACACTATCTCTTCTCATCCACACACACACACACACTGTGTTAATGTTTATGATATGATGATTGGCCATTATTCTGATCAACCCTCGCTCATCTAATCCATTGTCTGTGTGTTCATGTTCAATTCAAATCAAGTTGGATGAAGTATAATCGAATTCGAATTTTTTTTTTTTTTTGAAAAAAATTAATAATAAAAATGGGTCACATTTGATGCTGATTGGAGATTTTTTTTTGCCATTAAATTCGGTCACCATAATTCTAGTGTATCATCAGCATTGTGTCACGTCTTGTCTTGTTATTCGGTCGGTGAGATTGATGTATTTTTTCTCCCATTGTATTCATAATGATTGAGATTTCTTCATCATCATCATAATTATAGTGATGCTTATGTGAAGTTATCCCCGGACAAACCATCCGTTTCGTTTCATTTTGTCATTGTTAACATTGTTGTTGTGTTGTATGCTGGGCTATTTTTTGCTGAAAAAAAACATTACTTTGTCTGATTATTGATGATAAATCCAACAATCAAGGATTTGGCTTTCTATTTTTATGATGCTTTCCACCGGGTATGACCTCGATGTCCAGTTTTAAATGAAGAAAAAAAATTTATTTATTTTATTTGCCTCGTGTCACACGATCGATTTGTTTCTGGTGAAAAAACATGAGTGGATGTTTTGATGATATCAATATCGATCGATCCAATGAAAATGATAACGAGAATGACAATGACAAACTTGTGTTATTCATCATCAATTTGTGACATGCACAACACAACTAACTGAAGACAATTGTGAAGAAATCTGTATCTGTATTAATGTATAATGTCATTGATTAATAATTTCCGTTGTTAATAAACAATCGTCATAATGAAGATTATGGACAAATTATTAACATGCTCATAATCAATCATTCAAGTTGGAGCATTTGATGAGCACCAATCATACCCAACAACAACATACATACATATCATATCATAGAGAACAATCATGTTATTTTGATATTTTCTCTCAAATTCAATCGATTGAACGCAACTTTTTAATTAAGCTCAGCAAGTATAAAACCCAAACAAGTGACAAATATTTCTTTCTGCTCATGTTTTCATACGAATGAATGTGAACGCTTTGTTTTCTTTCCATCTATTTGGTTTCTTTTTGGATGTACATGTCATGTTTGCTTTTTGGATCGATGCATGAAAATAGTCTCAATAAATAATATTTTTTCGCTTTCCTTTCTCCATCTCTCCATCTCATCTCAAGCATCATCGTCATAATCAATTGAATGATGCAAAAAACGTATAATTTGACCAAACAAATGCAAACAAAACAAAAGCAAACCAAAATCACCCAAAAACAAACAGATAACAGATATGTGCATCTAATATTTGTGTCGATTCTTGTGTTCACCAAAGTTCATTGATTGATATTATTGAAAGCTCGTTTTTGGCTTTTTCTTCACAATCCCCATCCGATTGTCATGATTGATATTTATTTAGCCACAAAATATGAGAGTATACATCATGTTCCCATATTGTTGTTATCATCATCATCATCATCATCATCATCATAATCATAACCATTATTGTTTGTCTTAACATTATCATCATCATCATCATTGAAGATCAACAATCGATAACTTTCTCAATGCGTCATTGTGTGTTTGGGTGTGCATCCATCAATTGATGTGTTTAGTTGTGTGTGTGTGTGACGAATGATAATGAGTAGTTGAATGTTTGAACATTGAATCATTTTAAAATACATTTTTTCCACATTCGAAATTCTTCATTCAAATATTGAACCATTGACTCGCTCATAAATGGCTAAATTCGTAGAGTTCGAACAACCAACAAATAATATCGATTTGCACTAGGCATATATGTTTGCTCATATAACAAACACTTATTCTCTATTTGTGTGTGTGTGTGTGTGTGTGTCTCACTGTCAAATGTGTCAATCGATTGAATTGATCGATATTTTGTAGCTTCAATTGTCAACGACACCACCGATATTAATGTTGTATATTAGAAAAATGTAAAAGTCGAATACATCTTATTGAATCATTGAGAAATTGCTTCAAAAAAAGAAAATGAAATCGAAAATATCGCCAACAAAAGAGATGGCAACAAGCACTAAAAATCAACTAAAAATGTCAACAAATCGTCATCGGCCACCGGATCCTATGTTGTCTGATGGACTGCTGCCATCATCGTCATGGCATCATCATGATGATAGACAGCAATCACGGAATCTACCTCCGCTTACCAATGTTGATTGCTCAACAACAAGATGCCAAATTAATAAATCAGCAAGGATGAAGGCAGCAAAGTATTCATCACTTTTGCCACATTCGTGTATTATACCCACTGTGATCTCTTTGAAAAATGATTCGACCATTTCTAGTTTATCTAGAATGATGACAAGGACCAAAGATTACCATGATCATGGTAGAAATACTCAACAATCATCGAGGAGGTTTCAATCATCATCCAAGGTGATGTGGTTGTGGTCAATTTTGATTCTTTTAATTGTGATGCATTCATGTCCCATGATGATGATTATGCCCAATGTGAATGGTGTTTTAATATCAAGCAATAATCATCAATCGGTGACACCAGCCGGCTGTGAATGGCGGCCATTACGTAGCAGTAGTTCATCACATCAGCAGCCATCAACGTCGGCCACTGGTACTGGCCATTCCGGAAGTCATTCTTCAATGGATGATTCATCCTCATCACTAAGTCATCTGTCTATACAAGCTCATTCTCATTCTTCCACACACTCATTGTCTGCAACGACTACAATGGGCACATCATCATCATCATCATCATCATCGTCATCGTCGTCATTATCTTCATCGTCGTCAACATCTTCATCGGCTAATCAGCTATTACAGTGCCATTTTCGTACATTGAATGGTGCCCTTGATTCTGGTGTCAATCTAAGTCTAATACCGGGTGATCGTACTCATGCATTACGATTACAATGCGAAGATCTTTTATTTCAATCCCAATTACCGGAACGGGCATTTCGTTCATTACATCAATTACGTGAGCTTTACATAGAACGTTGTAAATTAAGCGAGCTTCCGGCTCATGTGTTCATTGGTCTACAAGAGCTACGACATCTCACCATTCGTACATATAACACTGATTGGGGTGATCTTAGTCTTCGTTTGTCAACGAGCACATCGTCAATATTTTCGCCGATCAAAAATCTTGAATCATTAGATCTGAGTGAGAATGGTCTAAGTCAACTGCCATCATCGATCCTGTGTCCATTGAATCGATTACAATATGTCAACATTTCGGCCAATTCATTTCAAGATGTCGCTTCATTGGGTTTCAGTGCAAAATCATCATATGAAGCATCGACCACATCCTCGTCTTCGTCTTTGTCCTCGTCATCGTCGTCAGCGTCAGCACAGACTGCAACTGGATCGATGAAAAATGATTGCCGTCGGCTAGATTCCATATTGAACCTGGATGCTAGCCACAATCGAATCAAAGTATTAACTGACCGAGGCTTCTCACGTCTACATTATCTTCAAGTGCTCAATCTACGGCAGAATCTGATTGCACGTGCAGAAGAAACATCTTTAGCTGGTCTAGCCGAATTGAATCGTCTCGATTTAAGCAATAATCAATTGGTAGCACTGCCGGCCAGATTCTTTCAAGCTGTGAAAACAACATTGGCCGAACTGTATCTGCAAAACAATTCCATATCTGTCATACCACCAGGTCTATTCTCGGGCCTTTCACAGGTTACCGTTCTTGATCTAAGCAATAATGAAGTGACATCACATTGGATCGGACCGACAACATTTGCCGACATGTCTCGGTTATTGTCATTAGATCTGTCCCATAATAAACTATCCCGTGTGGATGCGACCGTATTTCGAGCTCTTTATACATTGCAATCCTTATCGTTGAAGAATAACATAATCGAATCATTGGCCGAGAATGCTTTCATCAGTAATCGTAATCTACATACATTATCATTGAGTGGAAATAGACTACAGACTTTGGATGCGGCCAGTTTCACTGGTCTTGAAGTGTTGAATGCCTTATTCTTGGACGATAATCGTTTACAAATTGTTCATGTTTCTTCCTTCGCCAACATTACCAGTCTGATGGAATTGAATGTTGGTCAGAATCGTCTGCAAACAGTACCACAAGCAATACAAACACTGCATTCATTACGATCGCTAGATTTATCGCATAATCAAATCGGTGATATATCCAACGCTTCATATCGTGGCCTCGAACAATTGTATAGTCTCAATCTTGAAGACAACATCATCGGAAATCTGAGTCGTGGTGATTTCCTTGATCTACCATCACTTCGTGTGCTCAACTTGGCCAACAATTCAATCGGATCGGTTGAACAGGGGACGTTTGATAACATTCCAGATTTGCATGCATTGCGTCTAGATTCAAACAAAGTGGCCGATATAAACGGTTTGTTTGTCAATCTTCGTGATCTGCTCATGTTGAACATTTCGGCCAATCGTATTCAAATGTTTGATTATGCCATGATACCGGTCGGTCTGCAATGGCTCGATCTACATGATAATCTGATTGAAAATCTGGGCAATTATTTCGAAATTGAATCCGAACTCAAATTACGAACATTGGATGCATCACACAATCGTTTAGTGGAAATTGATTCGAAATTGATACCCGATTCGATTGAATTGGTCATGCTGAACAGGAATCAAATACGCAAAATAGCAGCATTCACATTTCTGAAGAAAGATAACCTAACTCGTGCCGATCTAAGTGATAATCGACTTGCTACATTAGATCTGAATGCATTACGTCTAAGTAAACCACCACCAACTCGACGACCATCGCCTGAATTTATGATTGCAGGCAATCCATTCGTTTGCGATTGCAATATTGAATGGTTACAACGTGCTGCTCTATTATCAACGCCAACATTGATGTTAGCAGCAATGCCACCACCATCAACACTATCGCCATCATTTCCATCATTGATTGGATCAGATCCATCTAGACAGCTACCGCGTGTTGTTGATGCTCATCAGATTCAATGTCGACTGGCGTTTGGCCGTGGCCAACAACCAATGATGACCACATTGGCTGCTGCTCGTCAATCTCAATTTCTATGTTCATATCGTTCTCATTGTTTTGCATTATGTCATTGTTGTGAATTTGATGCTTGTGATTGTGAAATGACCTGTCCAGACAATTGTACCTGTTTTTATGATCAATCATGGAATACGAACATTGTGGATTGTGGCCGTAATGGTCATTATCTTGTGCCCACTCGTATACCGATGGACGTGACCGATTTATATCTGGACGGTAACAATATCGCCGAATTGAGTCCCCACACATTCATTGGTCGTAAAAATCTTCGTCATCTTTATCTGAACGCATCGCACATTCATACAATCAATAATCGAACATTCAATGGTTTGAAATCATTATTAGTGTTGAATCTGGCCGATAACCAATTGGACACATTATATGGTTATGAATTCGAACGTCTCACCGATTTACGTGAACTATATCTAGAGAATAACATCATCTCAACTATCGCTAATCGTACGTTTTCAGCATTACGATCACTGCAAACATTACGGCTGGATAATAATCGAATTGTTGAATTTGAATTATGGTCCATGTTAGCATCGTCATTGCCATCATTACAGCAATTATATCTCGGCGATAATGCCTGGTCTTGTGATTGTCAATTTGTTGGCCAAATGATGGAATGGCTACCGGCTCGACAAGACATAATTCGTGATTTGGCACGTGTCCATTGTCAATATAATGAAAGTTATGCACTTCCACTTGGTGCAGTTGCCGCTGCGACAACAATGACAAATCTATATAAATTGACTGAAATTGAACAAGCTCGTGCAAACATATCGGCCGCATGTTCCCTATACGCTAAACGAGAATCGATTGCCGCATCCTCATCCTCATCATCAAGTGTTGGCATCAATGGTGGCGTTTCGGTCAATGGTATGACTGGCAATGGAACCGGAAATCAAATCGAAATGTTCATCCCGATTTTGGCATTGATTGTATTCTCCACATTTGGCGTATTATTGTTGCTTGCTTCGATCGTTACGGCCGTTCTGTATCGTCATGAGATTTCCGTATGGTTCTATGCACGAACCGGCATTCGATTGGGAGGTGGTTCCAGTACCGGCTCAGGTGCAAAAGGTGGTCATGGTAGACGTGGACGTCATGGTCGTGGTGGCCGTCATGGTCGTCATTCAGATCCATATGATGCAGATTGTGGTGAGAAATTATTCGATGCTTTCGTGTCATATTCAAAGAAAGATGAACAATTTGTTCAACAAATGCTTGCTCCTGAATTGGAATATGGAACAAGTCCTATGCGCCTATGTTTACATTATCGTGATCTTCCGGTTGCATCTGGTTTTGTTGCCGATGCAATCATTGAAGCCATGGCTGCCAGCCGTCGTACAATTCTGGTCATATCCGAACATTTTCTTCGTGGTGAATGGCAACATTTTGAATTCAAAACAGCTCATCAAGAAGCATTACGTTCACGTGCACGACACAAGTTGATACTAATTTTTGTTGGTCCTGTCGCTGGTAAAGATCTTGATCCGGATATCCGTGTTTGGCTCAAAACGGCCGGCAATACCTGTCTTCAATGGGGTGAGAAAATGTTCTGGGAAAAACTTCGTTATGCTATGCCCGAAATACCGACAGCTAGTTCGGGCGGTGGTTCTTCTGTGAATTCGTCATCATCATCTACCACCAGTTCGTTGTATGGTCGTAAAGCATTACAATTGAGTAATAATCAGCAAAGCAAAAATTCTACACTGCCATTGAGTCTGAGCAGCAATCAACAAATGTTGAATTGTGGCACTAATAATCGCAACTTTGATAGCTATCAACATCATCATCAATTGCATCATCCATTGTTGGGTGGGGCACAGACCACCACCACCACCTTAGGTCGACAACAATTGTCTTATGGTCATTCGCCAATGATGGATCATCCACCATCTATGGCGATCGGTGGCCATCCATTATATTCACCATCATCGATCCATAGTCAACAATCAACATATGCTTATCCTACCTATCATCCGACCGGTGTTCCACCACCAAATGTTGCACCACCACCACTACCGCCTAATCAATTGAATGGTCCACCACAATCGACACCGCCACCATTGCCACCATCACATCCATTACATCAGCGACTATTCCATAATCATTCGAATGGATCCGTTTCTGGTGTATCGACCAGTGTGACAACAATGGAATCCTCGTCTGGGTCCGGTGCCTCCGGATCCGGTCCATTATCCACACATCAACAGCAGCAGCTACCAGCAACGTCAACTATGTCGAATATTGGACATCATTTCCATCAAGGATCATCATCATCAACATCTGGTCGTCATCATGGCCATCATCTGAATCATCCGCATCATCAACAACAACAATCGGCCAGTCAGAATTCGAATGATTCAAGTTTGATGCTCACATCGAACGGTTCGGATATATCGGGTCAATCGACAATGCCATTTGTGCCATCAGCATCATCGACGACGGCCGTTGCCGTTCATATTTGATGATTGTTAAGTAAAGCTAAAACCAAATTGAAAATTGAATATTGAATATTGAATATTGTATATTGAATATTCCTCATTTTTGCCTCACAGATTCGTATAGCAATAAGAATCTTTCAATCTTTGTACAATGATTGTAAATAGTTGATACTGATGATGATGATGATGATGTGATATTTCAGTTTTATAATGATATATCACAGCTTAGAGAAACAGAACAAACCAAATTGTCTGCTTTTCGTTTCGTTTTTTGTTATCGTTTGTTGTTGACAACCATCAAATTCATCATCATCATCAATTCTATGTGATCTTTGAGTTTTGATTCATTTGGCTTCTACATTACACACACACACACACACTGTATACAACACTGAAAATTGTCCATCAATTTATTACATGAATGAACATAATTTGTAACATAATTTTTGCATATAAATATTTTGTCTTTTCTTTGTTTTTTCGACCCTTTCCTTTTTGCATCCAGCCACTTATTATTATAAACAGCCCCATTTTATTTGAATTATTAAAAAGAAAAAATGAATGATCCAATAACTACTCAATTACTAAATGATTCATTTTTTCATTATTTGACAATTGCCAATTATCTTTAAATGATTCGCAATTTCGGTTGGCAGTATTTTTAGAGATGAAAAAAAATCTGGTTACAATCAAACCAGCACAGAATGGCTAGAATTTTGTGCCCAAACGAATTGGCCACAACATTCTGGTCATCATCGATTCATTCATCTATGTTGCTATCCTCATTGTGTTAATGGCTCCACATAATCCACAGTGAAAGAGTGAAATTATCATCTCCATCATCATCATCATCATCATCATTATGGTCAATATTTCAACAAAAGCGTGTTTTCTTCTTGCTACCTGAATTTTGTGGTGTGTGATAAATGTATATCCGATTGTTGATTAGATGAATGCAGCAATGACAATTTAAAATGAACTCACTTCCATTGGAATTGTTCACTGGGACTTTACTTTGATATTTTATTTATCATTAGTTTGTGTCATCTACTGTTGGCTATATTGAATTTATTCGCTTTCGATTCCGTATCCGTTTTGATTCGCATTCGATTTGTTTTACTTGTTTTCAAATAAAATGCAATTTCTCTCTATTATTGGCAAGTTCATTAGTTTGTTTTGTTCGTTCAATATTTCATCAATTGAATTGGATTCGATGGAAAATAGAAATGATGATTACCAGTCATCATTTGGATTTCTGTAATGATCGCCATCATTGTTTCTGATTTCATTCTCTCTCTCTCTCGTTTTCCGGTTGTTTGTGTTTTCGTTTTGTTATTGTTGCCTGAATCTCTTTCCGGTCAAATCGGTTCTATTCGTCGATCATTATTGTTGTCGTTCATCATTGGTTCCAGAATTATCAAAGTCCGTTTTTCCTAGATTGTAAATTTTTATCAAACACTGAACAATGCTGACTGAAATGCTAGTCAAAGTCAATGGATTCAAGCATTGGATTCAAGTTTAAAATTTTCAATCCAATTGATTCCAAGATCAAAGTCATCATCTCATCATCATTATTATGAATGCCATTGTCATTGCTGCTGGAAAAAGTAAAACGAAATCAAAACAAAAATAGCTCCATTGTTTTTTGCTTGATATAATGTCCAATGAGAAAAGAGAAAAGAGAAAGGAACCATTAGCTTTTTTTTCATTGTTTTTTACGCCACATTCAATGGATAAATTGAATGCAATTCTGGAACGACAGACATTTATTTATTTATTGTGTGGCCAATCAGCCAGTCAGTCACTACTTAAAACCGATCAAACAAGGTCTGGCCTTTTTCTTGTCGATTGTCATTTTTTCGTTGTTGTTTTGGTTATTCTATTGTTGTTGTTGTTGTTGTTGTAGTTGTTAAGACTCAATGGCTGTCATGATTTATTATTATTAGTCGTAGGATCCAAATTCTAGCCTCTACGATGATGATGTTGATGATGTTAATGATGGTGCCAAGTCAATGATAATAATATTCTGGTTTGTATGTTTTGGTATCGTTTGTGTTTGCATATCGCAGACTTGATAAAAAATAAATATACTTCGTGTCTGTGTGTGTGTGTGTGTCTGTGTTGGAAATATCATCATATATTTGATTTTCACTTGCTTGCTTCTGGGTTCACTAGTTTGGTTTATCTTGTTAGTTACATACATACACACAGACTGTACGGATCCATGCGAAAAATTCTGTTTTGTCTCGTTTTGTGTTGTTATTGTTGCTCGGAATGAATGAATGAATGAAAATTGCCACGAACAAACATTTATATTGCACATATTTTTGTTTGTAAATTATCATGATGTACATGATACATTATGTATTCTAGGACTTTGGTTTTCACTAGCATCTTGGCCATCTGTCTGGGACTTGTGTGAAGAAAATTCTAGTCCAATGGCAGAGTGTTCAATAGTCAACAATAATAATGATGATAACAACAACAACAACAACAACAACCATTCTCATGGAACAACAATTTGAGACTCGACTCTCTGGAAAATGAGTTCACATTCTATTTCCCAACAGAATGGAAATTTTCATCTTTACGATTTTTACGGACATTTCCCGATTCTCGGTATTCGCCATGTCGATAGATAGATGGATAGATATTTACTCACTTTAGACACACTATGTGTTCTGGTATGTCTTTCTCTATTCTCTAGGTTCCTAAATGAAGCAACTCCATGTCTGTTATTACTGCTGCTGCTGCTGTTGTTGTTGTTGTTGTTGTTATAATGCTTGCCTCCGTCATGACAGTTGCCTGGTTTTTGCTTTACCAAATTGTTGTGTTTGTATTGTGCTTGTTTGAACAATCTCGGCAACAACCCATCCAACTATGAAGCAGTATGGGAAACAAATTGGAAACCCTCCATCATCAAATCTTTGGCAGAATTCGATCGGCCAACAAAAAAACAATGACAAAAATCGACAACCAAATTGAAACAACAACATTGATAGTGGCAAACTAATAGAATAAGCAATAAGTTGATGATAAACACAAACACACACAGATGATGTAATAAAATATGCATTTCCATCCAATCATTGCCATGATCCAAGGATGTTGAACATGATGTTATCAACCATGTTGATTATGATGATTAATATGGATAATGATGATGATGATGATGATATTGTCATGTGTCTCGAAAATGATAATTGTTCTGGCCACCACCAGAAATAGTGACCACCCCCATTCGGTTTGATATTTGGCATAAATTTTATAGTGAAAATCTAGAAAATGGCCAAATGGAAAACATTATTGTTATTGCTGTTTGTCGTTATCGCAATAACCAGTGGCACCAGTGTTTTCTCTATTCTCTCTACATAGTCATTACCATTATGATTTGGTTTAGGACCATTCACTCTCTTTCATGCAGCAAATGAATGAATTATTTCAAGATCTGGTTTTTTCCCTACGAACATGTTTGTGTTTGCGTGTGTACTGACAACAAAAACATTCTATTGGATCGTTTTTTATTCCTCAATCTCATTATTGTTGTTAATATGAAATTGAAGAATAAAACGAAAAATTCATTCTCCATTCTGGAGCATATATAATAATAATAATCTATTCTGGGCTAAATTGAGAATGAAATACTTAAATAGTTAGACTTTGAATACGTTTTCGCCTCTTGTTGCCTTATAGATCTTCTGCAAAGCGATATATGTGTGGCAAAGTAGATCTGAAAGATGATAAAATGAATAAATAGAAATGGAAATGGAAATGGAAATGAAAACTTCAAGTCGAAAGTCTAAAGATGTTGGGCCAAAAAAGAGTCAATTTTTTCTTCTCTCTTGTGGGTGTTGAATGGAAAAATTTGCAAAATGTTGGTGCCCCATGAAAATTGCATATTCTTTTCGTTGTTGATCATTGAATTTTCCTTGTTACTACTAGGCACACTATGAACGACCAACTTAATGGTTCATTCATTTATTTATTCTCTGCCTTAAATAGTAGCAGTATTGAGACAAGTGAACACTGTGAACACATGGAATGAAGAAAAACAAAGAATGAATGCAAGTAAAAGAAAAATCTTGGTTCGGTAAATAATTCGGCTCTACCGCTCAAGATAATAAAGTCTGAAGTGTAATACAGCCCGTACTAAAAGTTCAGTCGTCCGGCATCATCATCGTCGATTTTTCAGTCGAGATAAGTATGATGATACTGAACATCATTGGTTGATGTACGGACAATTTTTTTTTATTTCTTAAATTGAATATTTTCCAGCCTGTGTCGGTGTGTGAGAGTGTGCCACAAGCAAATTGAATTCGAATGAAACTTTTTTTCTATTTTCTCCATCATCATTTATGTGATGATGATGATGTTGTTGGGCTAATATTTGATGTTGGGCCACGTCCATAAATTGACAGCAATTGCAATTGCTGTTATGGTAAATGAGATTTGTGTTTTCTGTTTGCACATTTCATTTTGCTTTATGAAGCCATCGAATTGACTATCAGTTTGAGGGGCAGAAAAATGGAATTCTGGACAATTTGTAGTATAATACTTGGGGGAAATCGAAAAAATGGCATCCATTCTCTAGATATTCTCTAGAATGAGTTGAATTTTCGTTTCCAAAAAAGACCTAGATGGACTATTGATGATCGATCGATCGTCTATCAGCTAAATCTAGTTGATTCGAATCGGTATTCGTCATCATTACTGGAATGGCACAATTATGAATTGTTTTCGATTGGAATACGAACTCCATAATGATCGAGATTTTTTTCGTTTCGTTGTTTTGGTTGTGGCTGGGATAAAAATCACCGCATCTTGCTATTAGATCTCAAATGAACAGGGTAATATAATACAATTTTGGCTGATGCAAGTGGGCCAAACTTTATTCTTTTCCACCGATTCATGGCCAACCGTTATTTTTTCTTTTCCGTTTTTCAAGATGAAACGTGTGTGGTGTTGGCCTGGGCTCGTTGATTGAGAAAATTGGCGAATAATGGCTTGGTTGAATGGTCGATGGGCCTATCTATAGAACATAGAGATGAGGAAAAAAATCTCAACATCAACATGACTGTTGGCCAAGAATAAAAGGAAATAGAAAAATTCAAAATGATGATGATGATCATCATCATCATCATTATTATTAGTGCTAGAGAATACAAGTTCAACTTGATTACCCGAACCAAGAAACCAGTTGGAACGAATCCAGATAGAGTGATTAAATTGAATGTGTTTATTTTGGCTTATATAATCACAACAAACAAATATTACCATGATCATGATGGTTATAACGGGATGAAAGTTTTCTTGTTTTTTCTCATTGATTCCTTGATTCCTTGGTTATTTTATTATTATGACATGATCACTATTTGTAAGAAAAGAGAATGATCATCTCATATCGGAACATGTTTCACTGTGTTGATAGAAAAACTGTGCCTGGTATTTATGGATGCAAAATGAAAGATTTTCCGGATATTCCACCGACAAACGTCTTGATGCAAATTGATGTTTTCAATTTGCATCGATCATTATTCCCTGTTGGTGGTGGCATGCAAACATGGCCA